AAATATGTACGATCAAAGAACTTCTGTTTGGTTAATTGAACTAATCGTTTGTATTGTTTGTATTTGTTTGTGTTCGGTATTAGTATTATAAAATTACATCATTAAACGTAACACGTAACGAGTGACAGTTGCACGGATCGAGACAGGAAGGTCATACGGACTTGAACAAACTGGAGACTGGAGTGGTGGATGGAATAAATGTGTACAACACATTACTAGCATGGCGTATTGGGTATGGCGGGGTCGAGACAATATTTATTTAGTTGTATAGTAGTATACTGTAAGCATTTTTCGTTGAATGAAAGTGCGCGCTGGAAATCAGAAGTATTAAATAAGTTTATATATTCATTACTGGCTATACGTCTATTTATTTAATTTTTTTAGAACTAACAAAAAAATCGGTGAGCTATCAAGATCTTACGATTAATATTAGGATATAGGCACTTTTAGTCAGACAAGGGTGCACGCTAGGAATGATTTGGGTGTGAGGTTGGCATAACCACGTTTAAGACCTTATTGCCTTTTTATTTTTTAAGAACTAGTAATAATATTGGGAAACTAACAAGTAATAACGAAGAACTAAAAATTGGCAAATAGATATAAGCGTTTTTAGTCAGAAAACGGTGCCCGCTGGAAATTTTATAATTTTGAAGTCAGCGTACTCACTTTGTACGCCTCGTAACTTTTTTATTTTTTTGAGAACTAACGTAAATATTACAGAACTATCGAGAACTAACGAAGAACTAACGATTGGTATATAGATATAAGCATTTATAGTCAGAAAACTGTGCCCACTGGAAATTCTATAATTGTGAAGTTGGCGTACCCACTTTTTATGCTTCGTAACTTTTTTATTTTTTGAGAACTAACGCAAATATTGGAGAACTAACGAAAAACTAACAATTGGTGTATAGATATAAGCATTTATAGTCAGAAAACGGTGCCCGCTGGAAATTGTATGGTTGTAAAGTTAGCGTACCCACTTTGTATGCCTCGTAGCTTTTTTATTTTTTGAGAACTAACGTAAATATTGGGGAACTATCGAAAACTAACGAAGAACTAACGATTGGTATATAGATATAGGCATTTATAGTCAGAAGACGGTGCCCGCTGGAAATCGTATAGTTGTGAAGTTAGCGTACCCACTTTGTATGCCTCTTAACTTTTTTATTTTTTGAGAACTAACGTAAATATTGGGGAACTATCGAGAACTAACGAAGAACTAACGATTGGTATATAGATATAGGCATTTATAGTCAGAAAACGGTGCCCGCTGGAAATCGTATAGTTGTGAAGTTAACGTACCCACTTTGTATGCCTCTTAACTTTTTTATTTTTTGAGAACTAACGTAAATATTGGAGAACTATCGAGAACTAACGAAGAACTAACGATTGGTATATAGATATAGGTATTTATAGTAAAAAAAACTGTGCCCGCTGGAAATTCTATAATTGTGAAGTTGGCGTACCCACTTTGTTTGCCTCTTATCTTTTTTATTTTTTTAAAACTAACGTAAATATTGGAGAACTATCGAGAACTAACGAAGAACTAACGATTGGTATATAGATATAGGCATTTATAGTAAAAAAACTGTGCCCGCTGGAATTTCTATCATTGTGAAGTTGGCGTACCCACTTTTTATGCTTCGTAACTTTTTTATTTTTTGAGAACTAACGTAAATATTGGAGAACTATCGAGAACTAACGAAGAACTAACGATTGGTGTATATATATATATAAGCATTTATAGTCAGAAAACGGTGCCCGCTGGAAATTGTATAGTTGTGAAGTTAGCGTACCCACTTTGTATGCCTCGTAGCTTTTTTATTTTTTGAGAACTAACGTAAATATTGGAGAACTATCGAGAACTAACGAAGAACTAACGATTGGTATATAGATATAGGCATTTATAGTAAAAAAACTGTTCCCGCTGGAAATTGTACAATTGTGAAGTTAGCGTACCCACTTTGTATGCCTCATAACTTTTTTATTTTTTGAGAACTAACGAAAAAATGTTGGAACTATCGAGGACTAACAAAGAACTAACGATTGGTATATAGATGTAAACATTTCTCCTCAGAAAACGGCGCGTGCTAGAACCCGGAAGTGTGAAGTTAGCGTACCCACTTATAATCGGCTATAACTTTTTTATTTTTTGAGAACTAACGAAAAAATTTGGGAACTATCGAGAACTAACGATGAACTAACGATTGGTATGGTCAAAAGTGGATACGCTAATATGGGTACGCCAACTTCACGGACCTTCGTCTAACGACTGATAGTAACTACATGTATTGTCTAACAATTGATTGGATTAGCACAGCAATTTAATCTCATTTAGAGAACAGAAATCACCGGTTTTTTTTTTTAGATCAAAAAGAAATTAGTGCAAATCAAAAATGCAATTGATTGTTACAGAAATATTCCTTCATAATTAATTAGTAGTATAGTATTGAGCATTTCATACGCAATCAACAAAATATTATCAATAGAGAAGAACCTAGTGAGCATTCTTGTAGCGTATGTTGCAATGCGGTTTGTTGTTTAATATTCAACAAACACGCGATGGCCTACTAGCAGAAGGCTGTACAGTGTACAGTGTACACCTGTGTGTGTGCACGTGTATGTGTGAGGTGGGAAAGTTGTTATGAGTGCGGTTGGCCTGTTTCCTTCTAGAATACTAATCCATCGCTATCATAAGCGATCTAGAGGATTATCTATTCGATCGCCTCTGGTCTTCAACAAGCGCTAAAGCGCTTTTACCTCACCAATCACCGAATATCTGTCAAACCTAACAATGTTTTTAAGAATCTGTAAAATATACCCACAATTTTACGACCCGGAATTAAATAACAGTATTATTTTCAGATTCCGCAAAGAAATCTGAAACACCGCTGGGAGTGCCGTGTAGTTACGTAGCGCCTGTAGGTATATATAGTCAATGGTAGCGCGCACGCCGTGACTACATGCGCTCCCAGTGGTGTGCGCCAGGACCTATGGTAACCGCAGCACGGCTGATGGTATATTTAATTATTTTCGTCTATGATAATAGCTAGGACATTTTATGTGTGTTTCATATCCGGTTGATTCAGCTGATATTGACAGTAGATATTAATTTATTTTTATCAACCAACATTGTGCGCTTTCCTCATTGGTTATATTATCAGAAGAATATTAACATTGTGCAAATAGATTAGTTTGTTTAGGCCAAATAATGTTCAAATTGTAAAATGCACTTTGAAATTGTTTGTAACTGGTCCATAAGGATGACGACGATGAAATCTATAAGGAGTCTGTTTAATCTAAGCTTATACCCAGAAAAACACAAAGCTGAAATAAAGAGTGGTGAGAAACAAAATTACTCCCCGACTAGGGGGACTCATACAGTAATACTCGAAGATATGTGTTTACTAGTGTAGTATGTGTGCAAGTATGTAGTGATCGTATAATACTGACCGTGGACAGAGTGATGTAATGATGTTGTAACACGACAGTGTATGAAGTGTGAGGTGGTGTCCGTGCGATGTATATCGGATGACATCATATTGCTGAACTAATCATAGCTAGAGTCAGCGACACGAAAAGTAAAATGTAAACTGTTGACAAAATTGTTCGTACTATAGAGCGCTTACGTAGCAAATGTATATGGAGAACGGATCTTCAAAGAAATCGTAAGATAAGTGGCGAAAAGAGGACGATTAAATAGAGGTCAGAAGGATGCGTGTTATCTGTTAGGAAAGAAGATTTCTAACAAAATATATCAGTAGGCCTATCCAAAAACGTCGCTGTTACTCGATAGATATCCCTAGATATATGTTTCCTTGTAAGACAACGTAGACCTTCCATTTCCGGTAGATATGATAAATTATCCCTGACCAATCCAAATATATAAAGTGTGCAGATAGTAAGAAAAGTGTAAAATGCGTGTACATACCAATTAAACTTATTTAAAGAAGATTTTAAAATTTTTAGAGTTAATAGGCAAAACTATGTATTATTTTGAAATAACGCTTAAAAAAACAATCTGAACAGGCAAAATATTAATGGATTAAGAAAAGGTGTTGGTTTTATTGTATATAGAATGTTTCTAAAATCATTAAGATAATCTGCGATATACATATTTTCTAGATGCGTTGCGATAGGTAGTATCAATAATGGCCTAAGAAATGGTTAGCAAATGATCATATTTAACCTATCCGATGGTGGGGTTAAAAAACTTAACGTTTCAGGACCATCCATTAGACATAATTCTTTATATGCATTGACTTTAATTACTGATGTGCCTAAACACTATATTACTAAAATTGGGTATATAGATGTGTTATTGGGGATAAAACTCTGTTATGTATTTTGAATTTAAAAGGGTATAAATACCCGCGTTTAGTATTCAAGATGTTGTATCATAGAATCATAGATGAATTTGTATTTGTTTGTTTCAATGGTTGCCTACAGCCTTAGCCTGTGGATAAAGCTGGACTACATTTCCATGCTGTAGCCACTTTTAGAATAAAAATGATCTTAGTAAATTGAGCAACCGATAGACTACGCCAAACCTTTGACCAGGAAACTAAAATGAACATACAGTGATATCACCTTTAAATACCATAAACCATCACAGTAACAATAAATAACTAAGGGAGGAAATATTTTGGATGACACGCTCTGTATGTGGTTCATTCAAATAGCATTTGTCTTTTTTTCATTAAATTGACTAGAGCTGGTCATCAATGGCATTGAGTATGGTATAAAGTCACCATAGTCAATGCTTTTACTATCCGAGTAGACACCCAAGTAGACGCTCCAGTCCCCGGCGTCCCGGGTTCTAATAAAGCCAATCAGTAATGGCTGCCGCAAACTTCTAAGTTCAGACTGAAGTACTGTAATATGTAGAATGGCTCCAGTCTTTGGTTTGTGATCTATGATATAAATGTAGGACACAAACAAACAAAACACGTCCATGTATAAAAGTTAATACTAATACTACAATGTTCTGGACTCACCATCCTCTCCAGCTGGTAGGTGCCGCCGCACCACGTTGACCGCCTCATGTAGGGAGTCCTCCCTCGTTACATCCAGAGGGAGGGTGATGGTACTCCCAAAGGTCACTTTGGCCACCCCCTCAACACCCATCGCCGCCTCGCGGGCCTTCAACTTCGCCCTGAGGATCTTGACGGCATCGCTGTCCCCGCACTCCCCGTCGTCCTCCCCGGTCGGCCTGAACCCCGCGAACACCCGGAACCCCAGGGCACTCAGGTGCAGGGCCAGCTGGAGGCCGAACCCTGTGTCGCAGCTCGTAAGCAACACGGACCTTCCCGTCCCTACGTTCAGGGAGGGAAACTCGGCATCGTAAGTATGGCTTTTGGTGCGGACTTTACACAGCAGGTAGAGCAGGAGCGACCCCACGATGCCGGTCAGAGCGGTCAGTTGGATAAGGAGGATAATCAAGGTCTGTTCATCCATCTCGACTATTGACACTTCACAGTAACTGATAACACTTCACTTTACATCGCTCACTTCACAGTTCCTCCGCGCGTGGAGACCAGACTACGACTGAGCGAAAGAGCGAGGCGAGCTAGCGTTCCCGTCCCGCGCGGTTACTTCTCCCTACCGCAGCTATCAACGCGGTCGCCCCGCGGCGGATTCCAATCAAAACAGACATAATCTTCGGCCAGCCGTGACATATTTCCGGCGACCTTTCGCTCCACGATCGCCTTCCAACAACGGTGCACTGACCTAGTAAATGGTTCTCACAGCGCACTATTAGAGCGCCTTGTTGCCGATGAGATTTCGACCGTTATACTGTATTGCATGATGCACCAAAGTAAACGGGAAGAACTAGGCCTATGTAGATAAGGATAAAAAATAGTCCAAGAAAGTTATTGCTTATTTATTTGTAAAGATTATTTTATTGATATTGTTTTTACCAATATTAAAACACTAACATTACAGCTTGTGTTAATACATATTGAATTTTGTCTTGTCTTTTAGTTTACTTTGAGTAATAAACCTAAACACAAATTATAGGAATATGCTCCAAAGTTATGAATTTTTGGAATTAACGGACGTAATCTGAGGGGGTTGAGCCTTAAACCCAATGTAAGAATCAAAATGCAACATTTTAGTAAAAACAAGAATATTGGCTGGATAGAAATGTATCAATATTTTATAACTGTGATATGATATAAGAAGGTATAATACACTAGATCGCGCAAGGAAAGTCCAATAGAAAACTTAACTGAATAGACCATACGAATTTCGATATAAATTCTGAAGCATTGTATCGACTTTCAGCGAATCATTTAGTGGGTTTAGGCCTACGTGTAAAACCAATATGTAATAATTGTTATTTACAAGCTAACTGACGGATATTTGAAGGATACTTATCTTACAATGTTTATCACAAATCACATAGACAAATCTACAAAAAGCAGATCAACCGTATATCTCGGCAACTCACAAAAATATGTTGACAGATAAGTCAATAAAAATAAGGTAGCAATGGTATTCACAATGTCACAGTTGACAACTACTGCTAACAACGATGGAAGTTATTTTACTTTGAAAAGAAGCAGTTGTCAATGTGTTGAATTTCAAATTCGATATACCACATCGGCATGAAGGTAACACATGTTAAAGTGTAGGTGAAATGTAATTTCTTTAACTCTATCAATTTCTGCAGGAAAATATTTTGTTATTAAATAATACCCCCGCCGCAGCAAACCTGCCGACTAAGCGAATTTCCATTTGTCTGAATTCATTTTCAGTTAAATATATTTTAATAACATTAGGTTTAACGAGTACCTAGGTTTGCTGCTACAAGGAAACTAATAAAGTGTGTTTTTGAGTAAAATATTGATAGCTTAGTACAAAATAAATAAATTTGCCAAGTTTGATCACAATATATCCATAAACAAGCAAACTACAACATTTGACAATATTCTCCATAAGAATAACATGGGAATTTTAAATTTACAATTTTTGTAATTTTCTCCGTCACTAATAATCGAACAAAAATACTTTTATATACTAAATTATTTGTTTTTTTAAGCTCTTTAAAAAGGTCTAAAGAGAAATCGGGAAATTTTGTGTTTTGAGGGGCAAAAGTGAGAAAAACCAATTTTTACCCTATAAAACCCCCCGTAAAGCCCCGTTCCCATGGTCCGATCGTGCTGGTTTGCGAACTCATTCAAGTTTATCCCGCTTTACACATTTAAACCAAATTTCATCAAAATCGGACAAAAATTACTCAAGTTATCGCGTTCACGGACGTATATATATATATAAGTCTATATATATATATATATACATATATAAAAATTTGAACGAATGGTGTTTTTGGCCTCTGGGGACATAAAATGAAAAAGTAAATCGGTCCTGGGTCTAGGTCTTACCGTGCCACCTACGGTAATAGCTACTTCCCTATAGGGAAATTCGCTAAAACTAAATATTGATTACGTTATAATCATTCCAGCTTCTTGTACAGTATTGATTAAGATTACTTAATTGTTATTTACTAATAATTTCATAAGATCAACCGTGTCAGCTCATCTATATAATTAATACGCTACATGAAACTTTGTCGGTTGAACTCCTCCGCCATTTCTTAACCGATTTTGTCCATTGACGTCTCATTGGAAAGAGGGTGTCGCGTAGATTTGCAAACTGGCCTTACATTTTTGAAAAAGTCCCTTGGGCTCTGCCCCAATGGCTTCGAAAGTTCCCATGTTATCCTTATGGAGAACTGAGAACATAATTGTTTACATTTTGATCAGCTGTATAAATTGCTGTTATTTATTATTCAATCCAATGAAACACATTGAGTACATTTATTTACTATCTGAGTTTGTGTAAACATAACCCCCAAGACGGATCGTGTTAGTATGGTTTTATCTCAAATTTGTGTATTTATCGTTGTTTTGTGTAGCTATGACGGATAGTGTTAGCATGATTGTAACTTAAATTTGTGCATTTATCGTTGTTTTGTGTAGCTATAATTTGTTTATTCCCAAAACGACTTTTCGTTCTCAATAGGCCCTCTATCAATGACCTGTGTTGCCTGTACAGCGAGGCATTTTGGGAAGGAGAAAACCGGCCGGAATGCTTTAGGTTTATCAATAACGAAGATAAACATAGTCTGAGTTACACACCAGTAATCTTTGAGTTGACTCTTTTAAACTCATTGTAAATAAATATGACTGTTATTCGTTTTGAAATAACTCCTGTAACACTTCGCAATTGCTCGAATTCGAGCAACATGTACACTAGTATCGTATTAATCTATCGTTGTAAGGACTGTCTAAAAACATTAGTACTCTGCAAAAAAAGAGGCTTGGAAATGAACTAATACAAATTGCTACAAATGGTTTGTCCGTATAAGTAAAGTGTGTTTTCTATGATAACTTTATAAATTAATACTGTACATTTAAACAATTTACGAACATAGCCATCGTTTTGGTATTAAGATATTTCATTTTGAGTTTGGAACAAACTGAGAAAGCATTCTCGGATTGTTATGGAATAGTCCTCCATATTATGTTTCCTGTACTATACTATACGGTGTGTAAATTAAGTATTGAAACAAATCTGTATTTTAAAAACCGAAATAGATAGAATTATTCTGTTTGTGGCAATATTGTTTTACAAAGGTCCCGCATTTGTTTACATAAAAAATATTTATTAATCCCTCTAACAGGGTAGGGGGTAGGGGGTGACAAATGTTTTCAAATAGCAACCCCTATTGAGTGGCCCCTCATTTTGAAGGGTTTGACAAAAGAAACACAGGTGAATATCTCACTCCTAGCCAAAGATGCGGATATGCCAAAATGGGTGCTTTTTTACAAAAATTAAATTTCGGAATGCCCGTCATTTAGGCTAGGAGTGAAATATCCACCTAGGGTTTGCTTCATTGTGTTTCTTTTGATAAATCCTTCAAAATGAGGGGTCACTCAATAGGGGATGCTATTTAAAAAAAATAGTCACCCCCTACCCACTACCCTGTTATAAAAGGGGGGTTAATACATATTTTTGATGTAAAAAACTGCTGAACCTTTGTTAACAATTTTTGCCACAATTAGAATATTTCTATCTATTTCGGTTTTAAAAATACAGATTTGTTTCAATACTTAATTTACACACTGTTTGGTTGGTTGGTGATGTATGAGAATTGAGAATTGTCTCATTTTGGTGTCCATTATTTTACCTTACTTCGTTAGTTCAATTACTGTTCATCTGGCTACGGACAAATTATACATATTTAGTAAATTGAGAATTACATCCGAGGGTATTAAAATTGTTTTTACTGTTTAGTCTACATGAAGTATAGTTTCAAACTAATTAATTAAAAAAATATATGTTACAAATTAATTTGCTTTTTTCTATCCAATAAAACACTAGTTTCCAAATGGTAAAATTTTAATTCTCTCTATGATGAGTTTGTTTATTGACGTGATTTAATTTATAGGTCTCGCCACCCTAAGTTGAGGCAGCCCAGACGGACGGGCAAGGTCATTATCGGCCGGTCCCGCCCCGTGTAGTAGCAGTTGCGCCGAGTAGCATTTGCGCCGCGGATTAAATCGTGCTTCCAGCGCCGCGGAGTTAGATTAGTTCAATGATGCAGAAGTGACGAGGGTCATAATTACTTACACATTACTTGACTGAGTTGCTTGTAAATAGTGTCGTTTTATATATTCCTAATTAACTTGTACTAGTAGTGCACTATTGCACATAAAAAATGAATAAACACTTGTATACCACCACATGCAGTATTGAGTTAGTATAGATATTTTTCCTGAACTATAATTATTATAACCAGTAGACATTTCTACTTATCACATTACTAATTTAGGAGAAAGGGGGACTTTTGTTTTCCTATGAAGTTTTTAGAAAATAGTTGCACCAAGATAGTCTGCGGTGCTATGAGGAATGCGAACAGCTCGGCATATTGGTATTAGGGGGATTTGCTAGCGGTATATATATCCCCATACCTTTCGTAGTAACCCACTCCCTTATGTTACCTTTGGTCACTCAATGGTGTTGTCATTGTCAGTTTCGAGTAGAATTTAGCAGAATGAACATCGTAGAATCCACAAAGAAGGGCTCGGTTTTCAATCATTTCGTCTACTACAATTGACCTACTGTACATTATATCATCGATATGTCGTACAATTGATAAGAATGCAACAATAAGCTACAATAAAACCTTTCTGAAACCTCTAACCGAATAAATGAATCGATAAATAATTTCGAACCATGCAATTACTTACAATCGACATTTACAACTGTTCACAACAGTTAACTTGTACTCCCTAGGGACTAAAAAGGCTTTTTACTACTGGTGATTAAAACGTTATATAGTTTAGACCCATATGGTTTCGTCTTTTGTTTGCTATCTAAAGGTTATACATCGAAGTGAAGGATCACGGGTTCATACATAAAACCCCATTATAAAAAGGTTTGTCATAATTACAAGTTCTAAAAAAGTTAACCTTGTAAATAAATCAATAACTTGAGGGGGGGGGGGCAAGCCCAAAATGACACTTTTAGCTACCATTCGTCCCTCTGCTAT